GGCAAGCGCTGCCCAACTGGGGCAGAGGAGGCATAGGATGAAGGCACAGTGTGTCTGAGGGCCTCCGGGCGGGGGGGCAGCTCCTGCCATTGCGCACCACTGGTCCAGGAGCTGCTCATCTGGCGACTCCTGCTGCTGCTCCTCCCACTTGTCTGGGAGGGCATGGGATGGGTGGCAGGGGGCAAGGCGGGTGCCCCTAGATCTTCACGGAGCAAGTGGGGCCGGGGCTGCACCATGCTATGCTCTGGGTGGGCACGGCAGAGCACAGAGTGACTTGCCCACTTAACACTTATTTGACTGGTCTAGTTCCAACACTTGCATACTAGTAATTAGAAAATGCTGGCTAGATCTGCTAAGCTGGATAGCTTGAGACAGGTCCTCATTTGAGCAGAAACTGACATGTGTACCAAACTGCAAGGAAAAATTACCAGGGTTGGAACTTGGTCATCCCTCCTCCATCCTCCCTAATGAAAGTACTTGTAGCACAAGCCCTGTTTAACTCTGCATCGTCCCTGATTGACTCCTTTGGTAACAAAGGCATTATTGGGTTTACACACTGTTTGGGCCTTTTGGGCCTCACCAGTACTAGATAATTATTTCTAAAAAAGTCCACCCCCAGAGGCAAGCTGCTCAGTGGAGGCCAGCTAGGGAGATTCAAGACCTTCCCCCCTCCTCGAAAATGATAGCTTTTATACACTTTTTCTCTATGGAAAATATATTTGAGCAATCATTATGTTACAAAGAACCCATCAGGTCAGACTGTTTTTAACACTACATACTCCAATTTGAAATCTCTGGGTATATCTGAAGAATTTTATGTAGGTGTTTACATACTTAAACAGAGCTAATATTGCTCCTGGATTTACAGCAGGGCAGAGCAAGACAGTTTACAGAAAGTTGTTGCTTGCAAGAGCACATGCATGTGTTTGATTGGCTCCTGAGGCAGAAGAGGGGAGGGAACTCAGCCAGGCTCAGAAAAGGGAAGGGACCAGAGACCACAGAGCTTGGGGAGAAACCACGCTGTAGCCTGCCTGTGAAGTGAACCTGCCCGTAGTGACACAGGGAAGATAACCTGATATCCTTTTTTCCCCTCTGTGAGGCAGAGGGTCCTGTGTGAAGGAAAAAGGCTGATAAAGTAGACTTGCCTAGGAGGGCAGGGTGTTGATCTGGGAAGGCTCTGGGGAGAGTTAAAAGGAAAGAGTTAAAAGGAAAGAGAGAAACCAGACACAAGCATTTGCCACTCCCACCTGGTCCCAAACAATATCATGGAAGCAGAAATGCAGAAGGTGCATTTATTACTCTTATTTTCCAAAGCAGAGTGAAATATTTGCATGTACAGTTTCTGTAAATATCATGGACCAAGGCAAGGGCAGGCAATTATTTTCGGCAGAGGGCCACTTACCCAGTTATGGCAAGCTGTTGAGGGCCGCATGGGTAGCCCCACCCCTTGACACATGCCCTGCCCCCTGGTCACCATCTTGGGACCAATGTCCCAGGGCCAGCACCAGTGGGACTCAAAGCAGAGCACAGGCTGGCAGGGGTCTGTGGAGCAGGGCTGGGCTGCACTAGCAGGGAGAGGGGGGAGCTGGCCCGGCTCCCTAGAGCTCCTGCCACCCTGCTCTGGGCCCCGCTGGCACTAGCCCCAGGACACACCAGTGCAGGCCCTGTGCTCCCACTGGCTCCCTGCCTGCTGACTCCCAGTGCCCCCCAGGCAGGGGGCAGAATGCAGCCCCAACCCCCTGCTCACCAGCAGGGAAGGAGCTGGTGCTGAGCACAGGGAAAAGCAGTCCTTCCCCTGCTCCGTGGCTGGTGCTCCCTGCTGCAGCCGCTCGCAGCCACAGGGTGGGCGAGGGGCCACTTTTCCCCCACACTCAGCACCAGCTTGTAACCCGCTCCCACAGCCAGGCTAGGCCTCGCCTGTCAGGGCTGCGCCACGGCAGCAGCAGCAGCTGCTCAGTGCGGAGGAAAGCGGCTCCCACACTTGCTGCGCCAGGCAGCGTTTGCTGCTGCTGGCCACCTGGAGATGGCACGCTGGGCAGCCCAGGGGCAGCGGTGGCAAGTGCTGCCTGGCACAGCAAGCAGGGGACCACTTTCCTCCACGCCGAGCAGCTGCTCCTGCTGCAGCACAGCCCCGACAGGTGTGCCTGGAGCTGGCACAGGGCTCAGGCTGGCAGAAGGGGCAGATTACAAGCTGGTGCTGAGCACAGGGAAAAGCGGCCCCTTGCCCGCCCTGTAGCTGGCACCCCATGCTACAGCCGCTCACAGCCCCTGTATGGCTGCCTGTACCTGCTCAGGACAGCCCTGTGCGGGCTGCAAGTGGCTGCAGCAGGGAGCACCAGCCACAGGGTGGGGGAAGGGCCACTTTTCCCCAGGCTCCTTCCCTGCTTCTGGCTGGGGGGCAGAGCCAGGTGGGCCCTGCTGCTGAAGGAACCTGCCAGGGCTTCCCCTGGGTCCTGCTGCCCCTGGCTCCTGTCATTTTTGACAGGAACCAAGGGCAGATAAATATTAATTTTCTAAAATTTTTAGGAGCCCGGTGGGCTGGATAGAATGGCCTTGCTTCAGCCCACAGCCCATATTTTGTCCACCCCTGTTCTAGAGAGCTTGAACTCTCAACCTTGAGAAAGTCATGACCTACTTTTAAGGTCTGGGCATGCGCAGTGTTTAATAGTAATGCAACTGTTTATCAATGTTCATGTTAATTATGATAATGTTGCTTGCCTTGGGTTGAAACAGTTTGAATTGATTGGTCCTTTTAAGTATTGCCCAGGTTTGAATTTGATCGGGTACTGTAAAAATGGTGATGATTGGACCATTGGGTGAGTGACAGGCAGCACGATTAGAAGGCTTTAAATCCTGTCCAGAGCAGCCAGCAGGAGCTCTGGGTCTCAGGTTCGGGCTCAGCCTCGGTCTCACTCTGGCTGGACAGTTCCGACTCCAGGCTCTTGGGGTGCGGGAGTTCATCAAGTGCAGGTTCCTTGCTTTGACCTGGTCATTGGGAAGCTACAGTTGGGTAAAGTATCACCCTTTCCCTATCTGAGGTGCAGAGTACCTAAGCAGGGAAAAGCTAGAAATCCTCAGGGACTGTCAGAAAGTTTCTCCTGCTGACTAGGCCCAAGGTATTCTTGCTGTCATCTGTGGTTTCTGGGTTGTCTGTGAAGTTGCATAGCAGTTAACTGTGTAGCAAGCTCAAGGTAACGTATAGTTGATTGGCTGTGTGACCAGGGACATTGGGTTTGGGATGTTTGTTGAGTTACTGTCCCGTCCGATGCATTTTGTTGTGTTGTCGCTGGGCTGTTACGGGAATATTGCATCGGCTTGTTGTTGCGCGGGTCTTGTTGTGTAATACAGCTTACGTTGCTCAACTTACCTCTGTTATAGTGTGTAGCTACTCTTCCTAACTCTGAATGGGGTCAGGCAGTAGATCAATGCTCAGGAAAATTAACTTACTTTAATGCCCCAAACCCGACTACCTGTGGGTCATAGAGGATTAGTGACACTTTGAATTAATTAATTAATTGACATCCCCACAGGGAGTCCTTCATGGCTTTGTCCCTGACCCACCCTCCCCGACTGGGCAGCACTTGCCCCAGCCCCTGCTTCCCTTCCTTATGGCAGGAACACATGCCTTCCCTTACCCCCTCCCCCCACCCCTTCGCCTCCCCCACCGGACTTATCTGCTGCAGGCAGTGTATCGGATTGATATCAGCTGATATGCCTCCTTAAATATCAGCTATTGGTATCGGTCTTAAAAACCCCTATCAGTGCATCCCTACTGCAAAGTATTCCGATTTACAGCAGGGAGCTGCACTTATATCTTGGGGGGGGGGGGGGACACGCACGCGCAGCGGCAGCAGAAAGAGTGGAAAACCTCTAGCTGGGTGGCCTTCGTCTAAATAAACACCTTTATTGAAGCAGAGTCTGTCTGTCTCTTTGCTGCTTGGAACCTCAGAACCGTGCATCTCTTTCCAAGAAGAGGTGCAGTCCCTCTCTCAGGTGCACAACTGGAACATAGCTCCTTCAGGTGGCCATGGAAAGCCAGGAAGGGTCAGAGGGCCCAAAACGCCAAGATCTCAGAGTTAGAAGGAGCCAGGCTCCCCCTTCTCAACTCTAGAAGCCAAGTTTGGGCTGGCTTCAGGGAATACCAAGAGTAACCAAACAGAGCCAGAGAAGTCCTGTGCAACCACTCCGTGACACTAACCATACAGAACATTTGTTTATAGCAGTAATAGGCTCTTTGAAAAAAAGGAGCAAGCAGTTTATCTTGAGAACAGAACCCAATAGCCAGTATTTACCACCAAGCTTGAGGCAGTAATTGTGATCAGAGTGTAACGTGTTCAGTTAAGGCAGACAACAGGCATCACAGCTTGTAACATAAAAGTCATCTCAGTCTATCTGACAATTAATGTGGTTCTAGACTGGCCTCTTCAGCTAGTACTGCTCTTGGCAGACCAGTCTTCTCTTTCTCTCTTCCTCCATACCAGTACTACACCCCTCCTCCCCAGCAGATGCTACAATCCTAGGCCTTGTGAACAGCCTGAAATATGGTTTTGATGCATGTTGCATTGAAGGAAATGGAACTGGGGAGAGTTAAGAGATCTTATATATGGAGTGTGCAAATATTTTCAAGGTGCCTTTCCCTGTAATGCCATAGAAGACTCGTCTGTACAACACATCATGATTAGTCTCTTCATACCCTTGCTGAGTCCAATCTTACTTCTCAATCTCAGTGAGGATGCAATGATATACAAGGTGTACTCTCCTGTAAGTATAAGGATGAGGGAGATGCAAAGGAGTTTAATCACCCAAGACTCCTGTGGGATTACTGTGAAAAACTGGACTCCCCTTACACCTGGGCCAGATTTAAATTTTCAAAGCTAGGTTACATAGAGCCTGAATGACAAACTAGCTAATTCACTAAATACTATATACTTAGCCTCAATTTTACATGGTAGTAAAGGCAGGAAAGAATAGAGATATACATACAAAAAGGTGATACTTACAGCATATGAACCTATTAAAAATGCTGCATTTGCTCTTTTTCGTTGGTCAAAACTGGTATAGTGAACTATTTTCTTTCTTGAAAGACTGAAAGACTGTTTAAAAAGAAACAAAAAAAGACATATCAGCTAGTTTAGTTGCAATAAGTCACAGTACTTATGAGAAGCCAGTATTTAGAGAAATTAGTTTGCCCTCACTAAATAGAAACCTGAAAAAAATTAAAATGTTCTTTAAACATCAAAAGGAAAAACCGGTAAGAAGTATCAACCTGCATAGTATATATTTACACCTTTTTACGTTAAACAGCTTGATTACTTTAACATAAAGTTATCATATGAAACACAACTATTTAGCATAAAAATGTTTCTAGTGATTAACCACTTAATTCTACAATTAAACATTTTTATAAAAGCTAAAAACTTAATTTTTTAAAAAATGAATAGTAGAAGTATTAGGAACCATGCTTAATTTTTTTTAACGAAATCTTAGATAAATCCACAAATAAGAGAGTTAGGGGCTGGGGCAGGGAGTGGGTAGAGTTTTGAAAGTGTAAAGGAGTAATGCATATGCTCAGTCATAGTTTCATAGTACCTGAACAGGAGGGGCCTGAACAGATCATCTAGCCTGAACCCTGCCACAGGCAGGAATGAATGCTGGGTTCACAAGACCCCAGTCTCCTCAGAAGATCAATTAATTCCTGTACATTTAATTTTAAAGTGAAGCTCTCTTCCTTCTATACACTAACCTCAAAGCACAGGGGTCACAGTCATGACTCATAGGTAATAAGACAATTTATAAGGATTCTCTCTCTAAAATGACAGCTAATATAAGCATGACCAATTTTTATCAAGTCTCAGCAGAAATGGAAAGGAATGGAAGTTCAGAACTTCATCATTGGCAAACAAGGTTCCTTGGGTGAATTTGATATCTTTTATTAGACCAACCCAAATGGTTGGAGAATAGTTATTGAGCAAGCTTTCGGGTTCAAAAACCCTTCGTCAGGCTCAGGAAGCTGCAGCAGTTGGTGTGTGCTCTTCCTGGATGGAATGAAAAGTAAACAAGCCAGGGGCTGGGCTGGGCTGGGGAGTCAGTTGCCAGGCAGATTATAATGTATCAAAAATCCAATGTCTATGTTTAGTCCATGATCTCTAGTATCCAGCAGGTTGATGAAATGGAGCTCATAGGCTCGTCTCTGGGATGTGTTGTGTAAATTTCCCTTGAGGATCAGGACTGAGAGATTGGAGAGAGAGTGGCCCTCCTGTGAGAACTTCATCATTAGCATAAATGATACAATGACCTACATTGTCTAATTTACTCGGTGAATTAGTACTCAAATTCACTGTGCTCAGATTCAGGGAGGAAAGGCAGCAAAAGAGCCCAGCAGCCCCTTGGGCCCTGCAGGTAACTAGTGGACCTTCTGCATCTGAAAAGAAAGACCTACAAAGGATGGAGGACTGGATCCACCTCCAAGGAAGAATATTCTGCACTGGTCCAGACCCGCAGAGAGCGAACCAGGAAAGCCAAGACTGTGACTGAACTCCAACTAGCTACAAGTATCAAGAACAATAAAAAGTCCTTTTTTAGATATGTGGGGAGCTGAAGGAAAAGCAAGGGCAGCATCAGACCCCTGCTAAACCAGATGGGACATCTGACAACCGATATCCAGGAAAAAGCCAACTTGCTAAATGGGTATTTGCATTGGTTTTTCACCAGTCCCAAGGGGCACCCCTGCCCATTACAGGACAGGAACGCTGGGGTGAAGGCAATTCCTTACCCTCCATCAATGCTGACCTTGTGAAGGAACACCTTGAGAGGCTGAACACCTTCAAGTCAGCCAGCCCTGACAGTTTACACCCCAAGGTACTCAAGGAGCTGGCAAGCATCATAGCCCAGCCCCTGGCATGGATCTTTGAGAGCTCCTGGCGCTCTGGTGAAATGCCCAAAGACTGAAAAAAGGCCAGTGTGGTGCCCATCTTCAAGTAGGGGAGAAAAGTGGATCCGGCAAACAACAGGCCCATCAGCCTGACCTCTGTTCTGGGGAAGGTCTTAGAAAAGATTATCAAAGAGGCCATCTTAACAGATGACAGCATCCTGAGGGATAGCCAGCATGGGTTTGTTGTGGGTAGGTCTTGCTTGACCAATCTTATTTCCTTTTACGACCAGGTGACCTATCACCTGGACAAGGGAGAAGAGATTGATGTCGTATATCTTGACTTTAAAAAAGCCTTCGATCTGGTATCCCACGATCACCTCTTGGCAAAACTGGCTAACTGCGGCCTCGGCTTCACCATGATCCGCTGGCTGAAAAATTGGCTCTGTGGTCGGACCCAGAGGGTGGTGATTGACAGAAGTCAATCGCCGTGGTGGCCTGTGACCAGTGGGGTCCCTCAAGGCTCTGTCCTTGGGCCCATATTATTCAACATCTTCATTAACTATGTGGACATTGGAGTCAGAAGCAGACTGGCCAAGTTTGCCAACAAGACCAAACTTTGGGGTAAAGCATCCACACCTGAGGGCAGGAGGGTGATCCAGACTGACCTTGACAGGCTCAGGAAATGGGTGGACAAGAACCTGATGGTGTTCAACACTGAAAAATGCAAGGTTCTTTACCCTGAGAAGAAAAACCCGCAGCATGCTTATAGGATTGGCAGTGCTATGCTGGCTAGCACTACGGACAAAAAGGATTTGGGGGTCATGACTGACCACAAGATGAACATGAGCTTACAATTCGATGCTGCAGCTAGTAAAGCGAGCAAAATGATGGCTTGCATCCATAGACGCTTCTCAAACAAATTGCAGGGTGTCATTCTCCCATTGCATTTGGCCTTGGTGAGGCCACAGCTGGAGTACTGCATCCAGTTTTGGGCTCCACAATTCAAAAAAGGATGTGGAGAAGCTTGAGAGAGTGCAGAGGAGAGCCACGCGCACAATCAGAGGTCAGGAAAACAGACCTTATGATGAGAGGCTAAGAGCTATGGGACTCTTCAGCCTGGAAAAGTGCAGGCTCAGGGGTGATCTGGTGGCCACCTTTAAGTTTATTAGGGGTTCTCACCAGGATCTGGGGGAATGCCTGTTCACCAGAGCGCCCCAAGGGATGACAAGTTCAAATGGTCACAAACTCCTTCAGGACCGCTGCAGGCTGGACATAAGGAAGAACTTCTTTACAGTCCAAGCCCCTGGAGTCTAGAATAGACTGCCGCCGGAGGTGGTTCAAGCACCTACTTTGAACACCTTCAAGAGAAATGTGGATGTTTATCTTGCTGGGATCCTATGACCCCTGCTGACTTCCTGCCCCGGGGGCAGGGGACCGGACTCGATGATCTTCCAAGGTCCCTTCCAGCCCTAATGTCTATGAAATCAATTGATGAGTATTGCCACATTGATACTTATGAATGAGAATTTAATTAATTTGTGGTATGCCTTCTCCAAACATGTAAATCTCTACAGTATTTCTGCAACTGTTTCAAGTGATGTTTATGAACAGACACTGTGTTCAGACGAAGCAAATTTCATTACAATTCAATAGGTTTCTAAAGATTTAAGACTAAAATGAAAGTTGGACAGCCCTGTTCTAATCTAAGTGGCTGGGAGTCGCATGTTTTGAGCTGCTGCAGTGAGGGCCATACGCCCCACAGGCCACACCAACACAAGCCATGGGACCCCCAGGCTGCATGCCACATGGGCACCCCCCCACACTCAGCCCTCCCCTCGTCTACTGTGAAAGTGCTTAGGCCCCAACCCTCAACTTCCTGGCTGTAGCCCCCACCCTCCCTCCAACCCCCAGCCATGAGCTAACCCTGGCAGCACAGGCTGCACCATGCTGCCTTGCCCCCTGGAGCAGGGGCAGGAAGTGGAAGCCCAACAGGGGAGAGGGAGCCTGGAGACCCTGGCAACAGCAGCTGGGTGAAATCTCAGGGGCTGCAAATTAACCCCTCAAGGGTCACATGTAGCCCCTGGAATACAATTAGATATTTTACTCTTTCAAGTAACCATCACACCACTGATCCAATTTATTCAAATTCCAGACAGGATGACAAGAATTGCCTTCCTCAGTCTCAGCATCAATGACTCCTGCAAAATAGTGGTAACTACCCGATGCTTTTGCATTACTGCACATTATCAAATTAACAGGTTTTTTTTTTTGTTTTCACTACATATACAAATATGGCTAGCATTAGTTAAAAGCTACCTTGAAATATAAGGCTTTCATATAAATTTGATAATTTCTGTAGCTTAAGAATTTATTAAAAAAAAAAATCTGACAAATTTAAGAAAAATTATGTTTGCATTACAAAAAGCCTCTTACGTCTATCCCTATAGGAATAGCTCCTAAGAGTGGATCTGGCTGTACATTATAAGCTGGCCTTATTCTCTCCTGCTTCCACAGGTGGATAAACTGTGCTTTAAATTAATGCGACTGCAGCACATCTAAATGGGACTATAATCCTCAGAGTGGGGGAGGCATATTTTGATTAGAGGACTCCCTTTAAAGATGAACTGCAACTTCCTTTATATTTAGTCACATGTATGAAAACTCTTTCTACAGTATGCAAAAATCTGACAAGTCATACAAGAAGCTCAAGAGTAGATAAGCTTAGTTTTTCCTTTAAAAGTGACATTCAGTGTTATGTAATTGTGACTAAGCCTATTACATCTAAACCAGACAAAATTATAGTTGTACTGTTAGACAAACTACTGCAATTATATTTTAAAAATCAAGTGTTAGCAACAGTTTGTATTTAATCTGAATTACAGCTTTTTCTGTATTCATTCTATTTTAAAATTATTTTAAGAGAATTCCAACTATTAGTCACATAAGAGCTTCTACTACTTAGAGGCATGCCACACAAATTTTTCAGCCTTTTGGAGTAGGGATGATGATGAAGAACTCAGCAGTTTGATACTGAGAGCAGTACTGTTGTACCAAAGGGTGTCACAGGGAGACCAATGACCCCCACAATTCTAATAAAGATTTGACACTTAAAACTACAGCAACATAGAAGTTTAACTGCTCTTATGCTGTTTAAAAAATTAGCCAATAAAACCCACAAGACCTACATTTTAATCTCCATGACCCCAGACCAGTATAATGTAT